TAGAGGACCCGAGTTCAAGTTCATAGCCACAACTTCCTGTAATGTCACCTTCAGGGGATCCGGCCTGCTCTTCTATATTCTGTGGGTACCCACACTGACAGGCTCATACACCCATACAGACACAGATACTTAAAAGTAAAATAAATATTGGAAATAAAATTATAGGAAACTGCATTATTACAAATTGTTTTTAAATCTATTTTATGTTTTAAAAACAAAGTTAACTATTTTTCTTTCAACCTATTTGTATCATTAAAAAATGTTTGCAGTTTTGGGGGTCTGCATGTTTCTGTGGGTGTACATGTGTGTGCAGGTTCATGTACCTTTGTATCTGTGCATGTTTCTGGGTTTGCACGTGAGTACAGGTTCACGTGTCTTGTGTGTGTGTGTGTGTGTGTGTGTGTGTGTGTGTGTGTGTGTGTTTCTGTGGGTGTACATGTGTGTGCAGGTTCATGTGCCTTTGTGACTGTGCATGTGGAGGCTACCAGTCCACCTTCTTCCAGTGTTGTTTGTTGTTTACACAGACTGGACAAGGTAGTTGAAGCCTGGAATTGCATTTCCAGGGGTGGGCCAAAGACTGGAGGGCTCTGGGCTTGCTGGCCAAGCAGGATTGCTGAGGATTTGAGCTCCAGGATCAATGAGAAACACTGTCTTTAGAAAAAAATGTGGAGCGTTTGAGGAAGATACCCAAGGTTGACCTCTGGCCTTCACACATATGTCTAGATGCTCATGTGTGCCTGCTCACATGCAGACAAAGACAGACAGACAGACAGATACACACACACACACACACACACACACACAATATAGTGAAATTTGTACATTTTCAGTAAACAAGTTGGTGTGTTTTGACAAATATCTATATTCATGTGACCAAGTGAAAGCTTTTTTTTTTTACATATTTATTACATATGATCTGTACATTTTCCCATGTGGTCTAATACTCATTACATTTTTATCGTGTGTGTGTGTGTGTGTGTGTGTGTGTGTGTGTGTGTACATGAGTGGGTGCCATAGTTCATGTGTGGAGGTCAGAAGACAACTTGAGGGAGTTGCTTCTCTCCCTCTACCATTCGAGTGTCAGAAATCAAACTCAAGTCTTTAGGGTTAGAAGCAGGTGCTTTGGCCACTGAGTCATGTCTCCCATCCTCACTATTCACTTTGGTCAGATATTTTAGATTTGTATGAGTTGTAGAGACCCCTCGGTTTTCCATCAGTTCCTTCTGTGACACTTGCTCACAAAGTCATTGTAAAGATGGTGTCAGCTAGCTGGGAACACTGTCACCAGAGTTGGGAACTAAACAGGGGCTGGATTTGAACTTGTAACTCACAGAACAAAGTGGCCTTTTGTAGTCAGCAGACCTGAGGAGGGATAAACAGCCTCTCTGATGATGAATCACAGATATTGCAAATCGGGATGACAATGAGATGGAGGTTTCCAGCTAAAAGACTGACAGAGACTAAAAGGATTCCTAAGGCTGGTGTTGGCCAGGGTATTGGGAAACAAGGAAGCTTCTGCATTCTGGGGGGAGTGGACTTCAGCCTTACTTGTCATTATAAATGACCATTCCTTTTATTCCAATAGTCTCTTTACACATCTGTATAAGAGGGTAAAATGTGTGGATCACTGCAACATCAATTCAAATGGGAAGTGAACTAGTGGTATGGAATCCCCTGTGGTAGGGCAGGATGTTGGGATACTACACTATAGATGAAAGGAATGAGGAAACTTCTCACTTCTGACAAGAAAGAGGCACACATGTGATGTAAAGGGAGAAAGGGAGATTTGAAAATGGCAGGAGACCCTCAAGTTCTTTTCGGCGAGAAAAAGTGTTCTGGTTCAGTGACATGGTAATTCTCCAGTGACCACAGTTACTGATGACAAGTTGCTTTTGTTCTGTGAAACAAGTGATTTTTCTAGCCATCAGAGCATGCTATTCTGAGATGTCCCAGAAGCCATGTATGTGCCGAGGGGCCACATTTGCTGTAGTGACACTCTGAAAGGAGGGGCTCAGGTGGAGAGCAGTATCCATAAAGATGAGCGGTTGGGAGGTGCTGCTTTTCTTTCTTCATTCAATAGACATTGCTGAGCTGGGTGATGTGGTAGCGGCTGGAGTCTCACCTCCTTCATGTCAATAGGGAATTATTGAATGGGTTGCAGTGGCCACAGTAATAGGTCCAACTCCCTTGTGTTACTATGGTGATTTTCGTAAGAAAAGGAACTTCCAACAGCACTGAAACTGAAGTTCTGTGACATCAGGGACTTTTCTTAGTCTGCAGCATCTAATACTGCCTGGTGCACAATAGTTGCTTAGTCAGTGTATAAAATTTCCTTAATGAATCAGAAAATGGCAGGAGGGAAACACACTCATTTTAGGGTAACTGGAGGTCTTGTGGTGAAGAGGCCCAAAGTACCATGGGAATGTGGCAGAGTTTAAGGGACAATGACTGGGCCTGGCCTGAGACACAAGCCTGAGGCTGCAGGAGCTGAGATCTCTGCCGGAGGGAAGCAGACTGAACATTTGGTCTCCCTTTGATCTGCTGAACCCACCTGGGAGCCAGAGGGCAGAGAACCCAGAGAAGTCAGCCAGACACCTAAAGCTCGTCTCTCTCATAGCAAATGCTTGGGAATGCATCCTTCACTCCATAAAGAAGACTGGGATGCTGTCGGTACCACCCCAGTCCAAGGCCTAGAAAACAGCTCAGTTAGGTTTGTGGCTAGGGCTCTCTGCAGTGAGACTGTTTACTATCAATCAAAGAGAGGCAGGCACACTATGCTGGGAGGCATTTAAATATAAGGCAGGTCACAGTGACTGTCGAGAATGCAGCATGACCTCCTGGCTAAGAACTTTGTCTTTGAAGCCAACTTGCAGCCACTTGATAGGAACACATTGTTTTAGTTTTCCCATCTAAGAGGTGGGATAATACTCAACTTCCCAGAATTCTTGTGAGGCTAAGACAATGATTACAGAGCAATTGACACCTAGACTCCTACAGATGAGAGCTGGTTATCAAAGGAGCACACTTGACCCAAGTGGGAGGTAGACTCTGGAAGAATGCCTACTTAGTGTGTTTCCTGTACTTGGATGACAACAGTCATTCTTTTAAAACATTTTATTTGCCAGGTGTTGGTGGCACATGCCTTTAATCCCAGCACTTGGGAGGCAGAGGTAGTTGGATTTGTGTGAGTTCAAAGCTAGCCTGGTCTACACAGCTTCCAGGACAGGCTCCAAAGCAATGCAGGGAAACCCTGTCTCAAAAAACAAAAACAAAATTTTATTTATATATGTTTTAAAAACTCTTTTTAATGATTTTTATTTTATGTGCATTGGTGGTTTGGTTGCATGTATGTCTGTGTGAAGGTGTTGGATCCCCTGGAGGTGGAGTGACAGACAGTTGTGAGCTGCCATGTAGATGCTGGAACTTGAACTCAGGTCCTCTGGAAGAACAGTCAGTGCCACTCTTCAAGCACCCCCCTCCCCCCCCTTTTTTTGAGGCTAGGTCTCACTGGCAGGCCTGGAACTTGCTGTGTGGACTAGACTGGCCTCGAACTGAAGAAGATCACCTTCCTCTCCCTCACGAATGCTGTGATTAAATGCATATGCCATTATGCCTGACCTTACTACTTATTTTTGAGACAGGGTTTTGTGTACCTCAGGCTGGCCTCAAACTTGTTAAGTAGTCAGGGATGACTTTGAACTTCTGAACCTCCTGCTTCCACTTCCTGAGAGTTGGCATTTTGTATTCTTTGTGGTGCTAGGGATTGAACCAGAGCTTTACCTACTAGGCAAGTATTTGAGCTGTATCTCTAGCCTGGTTCATTCAATTATTTATTTATATCTTTTAAAGCAGTGATGGAATCAAAACTAGGGCCTCACACATGCTAGGCAAGTGCTCTGGTTGTTCAGTTAAAACTACTTTATCCTTGCATCAGCCCTGATTACTTCGATGGTCAAGAAAGCATGTTTACCTTCTTTCCCTTTCTTGCTTTCAACAACAGGGTCTTTTAGTGGTTCATTTGCCTCAGTTTCTATGTCAGGCCCAAGGTACCATACTATGCATGGCCAATGGGACTTATACCTTCAATAACGGAGGACCTTGGAGCTGGGGACATAGCTCAGTTGGTAGAATATTTGTGTAGCATGCACAAGTCCCTGAGTTCAGTCCCCAGCAACACAGAAAGTGGACACAGGGTACATGGCTGTATTCCCAGTCCTGGGCAGGCAAAAACAAGAGGATCAGAGATTTAAGTTCATCATTAGCTACATAGTGAGTTTGGGGGCATCCTGGGGTACAGGAGACCTTGTATCAGTTGGAGGATGAGTGAGAGAGGGAGGGAGGGAGGGAGAGAGAGAGAGAGAGAGAGAGAGAGAGAGAGAGGGAAATGAAAGGGAACATATTTCATCTTCCATCTGTGATCTGGTATATGGCTTGATATATGATATATATTTGGTATGTTTACTGGAGGCCCAAGGTTTAACATTTCTATAAAATCAATACCAGATTATACTAGAAAAATACCAAGTAGAAATATTTGCCCATAGCACAGCCAGCAATTGTCTTACAAAGTTTCTGTCTTGTTTTTGTTTTTTTTCCATCTGACGTTATAATGCGTGCCTTGTTCCACGGTATTTGAAATTCTTTGTAAACCTCATTTTCAACGGCTGCCTAATAATCCCTGAGCTGTGTAGACCATCCCTCAAACAATCCTCTATTGTTGAACCTTCCGGCTGCTTCCAGCTTCTTATTGTCAGCAGCCCTGCTGCAAAGAACATCTTTTTATTCAGAGAGCTTTTCTGGGTTCTTTCCTGTTTCCTCAAGATGGTTTCCCAGAAGTGGAATGACTGGTTCAAAGGTTCTTAATGTTTTAAGTCTCTCCTTAAGATTGCCAAACTGCTGCCCCCAGTGGCTTCAAGGGCTCCTTTCTTTGCCAGGAGGACGGGTGGCGTTGTCCTGCACACACCTCCTCGACTTCACTTGCTCTCTCTTCTCTCCCCTAGCCTCATAAAGAGAATGGCGCAGAGCGTGGTGGAGGTCATGGAAGACTCCAAGGGCAAAGTCCATGAGAACCTCCTGGCTAATGGAGGTAGGTCCACCAAGGTCTCTTCTCCTCAGGCGCTGTGTCTCTCATGATGCCCACAGTGGGAGCTCTGAATATCCAGGTCTGTTAGGCCTTACCATCCCATTTGTGGGAAATCTCACATATCTCCACCCACTTATCATTTTTTTGCCAAGCAAGAAATGCCTCTAACCACAGGTAGCAGGGTCACGTCAAAAATACTTCATATGGAATGTTCCCATTCCAAAGTTTTGGCTTCCCATGCTTATGGACATATATTCAGATACCCCAGTGCTGTTTTGGCTGTTAAATGTGCATAAGCCATTTGGGCTGTATTTTAAATGTGTAGCAAAAACATGGAGACTTTGAAGCCCAGGCATGGTGGCACACACCTGCAATCCTATTACTGGGGAAGTAGAGGCAAGAAAATCAGGTGTTCAAGGACATCCTGAGATACTTAATAAGTTCAAGGCCAGCCTGGGCTATCTAAGACTCTGTCTCAAAATATTTATAAAAGCAAAAAATACCCCAAACCAAACCAAAACAACAAAACCACACTTGAAACAAAACTTGGGACACTTTGAAACTCTAAAATTAAATATTTATATATCTGTAGAGAGAATTAACCTTGACTCTTTACATATTTGTTGAAATGAGAGCATACATATTTACAGTTACATCATTTGGGATAAATAGCATATATGAATACACAGGCGTGCCACCTGAAAATGTCTGAAGTCTTTTACTGGTTTAAATTGGCCATTCTAAACCTGGAGCTGCATGTCTCTGTGGTTTAACGACCCCCATCTTGTAACATTCCAGGTCTTTGCGGTTTAATGACCCCATCTTATATTATGTTCCAGGTCTGAAGGAAAAGATGAGGTGTTTAAAGAGTAGGTTGTGTCTTGTTTGCTGTGCACATGCCCAGTGTGCCGCTGCATGTCTCTGGGAGGGTGGGGCCCAGGCTGGTCGTAGGGGTACAGTGATCAGGCTTCTACAGTTTCTCAAGAAACCACTTTCGAGCTTGGTCACCATACCCAGACGATGCAGTTCACAGTTGTTTCACCCCTGTCTCCCTTCTGTCCTCTTTGCGTCTCCTGAGAAACCTGCATGTTTCTTGGAAATGGAGTTTGGGGTGAACTTCGGCATCTTTTTGTGTGTTCTCTGCCTGGCCTTTAGGCCTGTCTCTGGTGATCCGCCTGCTCTGTAAGGATGCCAGCTCAGCCAGGTCTTGCTTCATGTGGCTCATGGATTAGTAGTCTTCTAGAACAGGCCACTCCTGGTGTAGTTGTTAGAAAGAACCGTTGGCATAGTGTTTTCTCTAATCTGCTGTAACCCACAGAATGAAAAAATCAAGTAATATTATTTCATGTTTTTTTTGTTTTGAGATCATGTGGTCAAGGCTAGCTAAGGCTCACTGTATAGCTGAGGGTGACTTTGAACTTCTGGCCATCTTGTTTCCATTCCCGAGTGTTAGGATGACAGGTGTGTACTACCACCTGTCATCCCAGCACTTGGGATGTTTATGTTTTATTTAAGCATACACTAAAATGCTGATCAAAATGCTTACCACATCCCAGGGCTGGGAATATGGCTCATGGGCAGTGTTTACCTATCAAAGCACCAGACCCTGAGCTCCACCCCAACACTGCACCAAACCAACCCTGAAAAGCAAACAAACCCATCCACTTAGCTTTCAACTCCAAGTTGATGCCACTTAAATGTAGGCGTCGTTCTATGTGGGATCCAACCTGTCTGGATGTACTGTTTCCAAGGCAGAACACACTAAGGGATGAGGAAACTTGGTCTTTGTTGCTTGTTCAGCATGTGCCATTATTTTGAGGCCCCTGCCACATATCTGTTGGTTAGTCCCAATCACTTCCAAGGCTATTTCTGAGCATTCTCTATGAACCAACCCTGCCAAAGGCCTGCCAGCATGGTGAGGCAATGCCTACAGTATCAGCCCAACCTTAAGTGTATACCTTTGTCTTGACACCTCCCAGGAAGCCTAGCAAGGGTCAAGAGACCTTTCTAAACTTCATTCAACTCAGACTTTCCCAGAGGATGCTCTTCTGCAAGGTACTCTCAGACTGGGGACAGCGTTTCCTAGAGCTCTCTGTTGTTCTGTGCATGGGGCTTTAATCCTGTGACAGAATTTGGGGCATTGATGTATAATCATAAAGACTTGAAGGGGTCAGCCCTGGACATGCCATGCGCTGTCCATCTCGACCAGTCGGCTTTCTGGGGCTTGCTTTTCTCACTTGCAAAAGAACTTAGCAACAGCCTCTGTCTAGGTTCTTAGCTTTGCTTGGTGTCTTTTGCTTTTGTTTGTCTTTGCCACTAACTGTGTGGAGCATGGTAAGTCCTAGACCCATGTGGATCTGGCAGAAGCAGAGCAGATACACACATGTCCGGCTTGGGCTGTGGAAGACCTGTCTGGCTAGGCAGGCATTGGGCTGCCGCCCATGAAGTCATAATCCTGTATGCTGGCAAGGCTTTGGCTTGGTTCTTCAGATGTTGCTCAAGAGACAGCCACCTGTGGGGTGTGTGTTTTGAGAGGGCAGGAAGGCTGGGGTGGCAGAGGCCACTCTGGAGTGATACGCCTGCCCAAGGTATAGAAAGGGAAGGACTTGCAGGTTGTGGTCTGGAGCAAATGTTAGTGTTCAGGGCTAGCTTTGAAGTGGGACACATGAGAAAGGAAAGAGGCAGAAGAGAGCATAGCCACCAAGCCAGAGGCCTTCAGGAGACCACTGTCATACTCCTGGTGCCCCTGGCATTCACGGGCTGGTGGGAGAGAGACCTACAGTACCCTGCGCCCTGCAGTGGAACATGCTCTCCTAAGAGTGAAAGTCATGGGAGCCTTGTGTTTGGTGACAAGGAATAAAGAGCAGAGTTTGCTCTGAAGTGTGTCTCTGCTTGTCAGCCTATAGCATGTAAATTCCCATGGTCATCTTGGCTGTGATGAGTGCGGCTGTCAGTGTCCTGAGCATTCTATGGAATGCTTGGTTCTGTGGGGTCCTGTGATGGTCTCTGGAGACACGGGGTGTGGGGGAAGCTCAGAGCAGCATTGACTGTTCAGAGCAGCTGGGAGAGCAGTTGAGAGGCTGAGCACTACTTAGCCTGGGTGGAAGGTCTCCAGGATGCTGCAGGTGACAGGGAGGGTGGAGAGGGAGTGCCCTGAAAACACATCACCCTGACATCTGTCCTGGCTGCTAGTTCCCCACCTTCAGGAAAAGCTTGAGGTCACCAGTGGGAGTTCTTTTTCTTGCCCAAAGCTCTCCCAACAGTTAGCATTGCTGCCTCTTGAGAGGCCTCATGTGACCTTGTTTAGCTTTTGGGTCATGGGAATGACAAAGCTTGTCCTAATGCCAAAGCCTATACTAGTATTTATCAGTCCAATTGGACCACCATCACAGTTCCATACACAAGGAAGCTTCCATAGCACTGCCTCATTCTGTGGCCCAGGCTGGCCTAGAACTCACTATGTGGTTCAGGCTAGGCTCAAATTCAAAGAGAACTTTCTGCTTTAGCCTCCTGGGAGTTGAGATTATGGCTGTGCACCACCACACATGGCCAGGTGTTTCAGGTTCTAATGAGGATTCCACCTGGTTATGGGTAGCCACAGTCTGGGTCATCAAACAGTCTTTCCTTGGGTACATGTGGGGAGGCAGTGAGCCTGGGCTCTCTGATGTCCCTTTTCAAGAGCACAAATCCCACCAGGTGTCCTGCCTCCAACATCTTAGAGATTCTTTTGTCACAGGCCAAGGTACTGTGTAAATTTCTAACACCAGTGTGGTTAAACATCCAACAGAGGTTCTCTCACAAGCCCCTTCCAAGTCTTCACTCTGGAAAAAAGCCCAAGAAGGTAGATCTTGTGAAGGGGGCTCCTTCTTCCTGCAATATAGCTGGACCCTTGATAGTTGGACATAATGGGGAGAGGGACCAAGGACCCTTCCTTTGTGAGGGGCAGGGTATCATGTGATGCTCTGTGTCATTTGTTCCTGCTGTAATGCAGCTTACATAACTTATTCTGTGCTAGAGTTGCCTCATGGAGATAATGACATCCCTTAATAGGCTGAAGAGTCAATCAGATGAGATGATTCATGTATCCCGGCCCAAGGTAACCCACAAGTCCACAGCTCCTTACTGGTTGGCACATCATCACTGTTATCTTAAGGCATTCCTGCTGGTTAAGTAGTAGGGCCACTTCCCTCTTGAATCCCCTTTGGTTCCCATCTTCTTGGGGATTAATGCATCTATGCATCAAAGTTGGGCTTGCCTCAAACTGAATTCATCCTCTCCATCCTGTTCCTTCCACTGCTCCATGGTCCTCAGGTTAATGACTATTCTTCCCTTCACCTAGCTACCCAACCTAGGAATTTGGGTGTCACTTCATGCTCTGTGTGTCACTGTCCCTGAATCCTGCTGAGTGGGTCCCCTCCTCTCTGCCCCCAGAGCTTCTTGTCCATCTCAGCTTTCCCCTCTCCCAAATCCTCACTGGCTTCTGTCCACTCCCAACATGGACTCTTCCACTGTGTAATCCTGTCCTGTTTCTTCATGACCAGTTCCAAGCATGGAGGTCCAGATGTGACCTCACACCTGGTCTCTCCTAGCTCTGCCCACCTCTCTGCTCCATCAACTTCATCTAGACTCCTAACGCCTTCCCACAATGGGACCACCAGTCCTTGGGTCACTTGACACTCTCACAGCCACATAGGCAGCCACTGTCTATCAGCTTCTTCAGGGTTCCTGTCCAATTGTAACCATGGTGACTTCCCTAGGAGCCTGGTATTATCTCTCCCCGCTGTTTACCTAACTGTCCCTGACACACGTATGAGCACTCGAGGCTGGGTAGGAAGGGTGTTTGTCTTGGAGTCCCAACAGCAGGGAGCCAGACTCCATACACAGGCAAAGTTGACTGTTGGGAAGTTCTTTCCATGTGCATAAGGACAAGCATACTCAGGGAAGGGCTGGCACGCACAGAACCTGCAGTGGCAAGTCCACCTTGGAAAGTGTGGGGTTGCATACCCGTCTGTCATTCCGGATACTGGTGCAGGAGGATGACTTGGACCCAGGAGTTCCAGGCCAGCCTGAGCCACAAAAAGAAATCCCCATCTCCAAAGGAGTAAAAGCTGGGTGGTGGTGGCCCACACGTCTTTAATCCCAGCACTCAGGAGGCAGAGGTCTACAAAGTAAGTTCCAGGACACCTAAGGCTGTTGCACAGAGAAACCCTGTCTCAAATGACAAAACAAAAATGAACAAACAAAAAAGAATAAAGAGAAAGAAAAAAGAGGGTGAAGAAGAAATAACATGCTCCCATGTTATTTCTGGATATGTGGAGTATAAGAGTAATCGAACCTGGAATCTCACCATCTGGGAGCAGAGGATCTCTGTCAGTTTGAGTACAGCCTGGTCTAAATCCTGAGTCCCAGGCTAGTTAGCAGTGTATAGTGGGACAGTCTCAAAACAAAACAAGCAAGTCTTCGAGGTGATTGCTCTGACCACTTTCTCAGGTAGGAATACTGACTCAGTTCCTCTCTTGCTTGGGATCTGGGGCTTAAGCCAATGTCCTGGTTTCATTTGGGATAATAAAAAGAAAACTACAGAAGCAACTTTAAGAGAGAAAGGATTTGTTTTACTGAAAATTGAAGGTCACGGTGTGTCACTGAAGGAAAGTAAAGGCAGGAACGTGAAGCCACTAGTCATATCCACAGTCGAGAGCAGAGAGGGAGGAATGCGTGTGTGCTTCTCATGCTCAATTGCTCAATTTCCTCTCCACACTTACTCAGCCCAGGACCCCAGCTGAGGGAGTGGTGCCACCCACAGTGGGTGGGGCTTCCCACAGACACACCCACAGGCCAGCCTGATCCAGACAGTCCTTCACTGACCCCCCCTCCCAGGTCACTCTAGATTGGGTCAATTGACAATGAAGACTAAGTATCACAGTTGAGCATGGTGGCACACACCTGTAATCCTTCCACTGGAAAGCAGAGACAGGCAGATCTCTGCAAGTTCAAGGCCAGCCTGGTGTACATGGCGAGTTCCAGGACAGCCAGAGCTACACCGTGAGACCCTGTCTCAAAGAAACAAACATACAAAAAAAAATCTACTCTAAATATCATGATCAGCCAGGCTCCTTGGATTAAAATGTGTCAGTCCAATTGAACCATCTTCAGCTCCCCCTATTCCTCTACAGCACAGCTGGCTAGGGTAGGCAGGAACACCCTGCTTTGCCATGTAATTTGTTTGGTTTCAGTGAAAACACTGGTACATTCTGTTCACTCTAGACTTCAACAGGCACATGTGGAATGATGCCCATGGTTCCAGGTGGGAAAGCCAGTGACAAGCAAGTTCCAGGGTGTGGCTGCACTGTGACATGTCCCCCTTAAAGTGGATGATGTGGGTTAACATTGACTTGCTCTTGTTGGGGCTCAAGAAGCAGGGGACTCTCCCTCAGCAGGTGGCACCCGTGACAGGCCATGGCTGGGTGGCTGGGGGCCTAGTTTGATGCTTTTTGGTGTGCCTTCTGGATGACTCAAAACAGACTGGTGACCCAGCCAGGGAGGGTAGACCAGCAACTGTTGCAGGTGGAGAAGTTACCAGTGGCCACAGGATGTCACCTTGTTGGTTTCAATCTCTAGGAAGAGCAGGCTTCATAGCAAGCTCCAGGTGAAAACTGCAAAAGGAGAGCTTGGGGCTCATGTTGCACCTCAGCTTTAGGGTATATGATGGCAAGCTGATGCCTTCCACTGGCTCTGAACTGCTCCTGCATGGAACATGCGCACTTCTGGAGCCTGCGCCTATTCTTTAGCTTCTCCCTGACTGCTTCTTTGGTGTGAACAACAAGCTCCCTTGTCTCCCTTGATTTGGTTCTGGGTTCAAGTTAGTCTTTGCTCTTCCAGTTGACTTGACATCCTTTGTGACGCACTTCGAGTGGGACATGGCCAAATATCCTGCCAAGCAGCCACTGGTGAGCGTGGTGGACACACTGGCCAAGGTGAGGAGAGTCTGCTTGGAGACATCTGACCACATGAGGTGACATACGTGGAGTTGGGACTCTGACAAGGTAGAAGGCAAAGTGCTGGAATCTTAGCCCCATGAGTGACCCAGAGTAGGTTCCTCTTACCATGCCCTGGGTTAAGGTTAGAACTCAGGAGAGACTTTAGTGTACTTGTTTCCTGTCCCTGTCATCCATAGAACTGGCTGTAATCTCACAGGGGTGGTGTGGAGTGTGAGGTGTGGAGAGTGTGGTGTGGAGTGTGAGGTGTGGAGTGTGAGGTGTGGAGTGTATCTGGGGGGGGGAGTGGGGGGGGGGGAGTGGGGGGTGGGGGGTGGGAGGGGGAGGTCAGAGAAACTTATGTTCTGACCCCAAACCATAATTCATTTCACTCCCCTACTGTAATTCAAAAACTATGGAGGGAAGGCTTAGTCTCACCTCCCTCACCATGCATGTGGGGACCCCATGCTCCTTGGATGATTGATTGATTTTGTGGTACTGGATGTGGAACCCAGAGCCTTTCACATACTAAGCATTCTACCATAGCCCTCTTTTAATTTTTATTTTGAGATAGGGTCTCACTAAATTTCCCAGACTGGCCTTGAACTAATCCTATAACTCAAGCTAGACTTAAACCTTTTATCCTTCTGCCTCAGCCTCCTTAGCAGCTGGAATCACAGGGCTTGGGCACCAGGCCTGGCTCTCTTGGGAAATGGTTTGCAAAACCTCATTGCTTTAGAAGACAGTGTGGCTTAGAAACCCCACCCCTCAGTCACATTGTGCCAGCTCATCCCCTAAGTATCTTGTGACAACAAACAGTCCCATGACACGGTGCCATCTATTAAGCCATGGTCTCCAGCTTACACTGGATACAATCTCCATAGCACAGGGAACTGCAGGGACATTGTGGGCATCCCATAGCCAAGGTGACTTCTATGTGCCTTCACCATGGGTGAAGGTTGACTGTCCTCCCTATTGCTGATGTGTACACAACCCCTTATATGTCATGTCTCTGGCTGGACCAGTGACTGGGGAGATCCCAGCTCTATACTGAACAAAGCCACCCTGTTCTCTAAGTAGCTGAGCTTCCCTGAGGGCGATAGGCAGGTCAGGGCAGGAAGGGTGGCTTTGAGTCCTTTTCTACTTCAGGTCTCTTGGGAATCTGGGTGTGGCTCCTTGGGGTTACATATCCTCCCAAGACAATCAGGCAGAGGTTCTCAAAGGTGCTTCTAGTAGGGGCAGCCCAGGGCGTTGTACCAGGATGGCTTTTAGGAGAGCATCACACATGTCCACCACTGAGCCAGAGGACACAGATTTTTATGAGGTTGGCATGCCAACTGGGGGTTCTGAGTCCCAGGGACATTGGACCTGGCTCGGGGGAAGTTGGAGAGCAGTGGAGTCAGAGGAGAGCTGGCTCTCCTCTAGTTCAGGGTACCCAAGTGCACAGCTATTGAAGCAGCAGCAGACTGGGGGGGGGTGAGGGTCAGGAGATCAGATCCCACACGGTGTGCAGTGTGCATGGCTCCACTCCCCATCCACAGGGAGCCAGCTCCTGCAGGCTAGCAGGACAGAGGTTGGGGAAGACTGGGTCTTTAGTCCGCACTGCCTCAAAACCTTGTTTATCAGCCCTGTCCTTGCCTTGTTCTTCTGAAGTAGCTTACGGCTTTGTTCAGTTTGTATAACACATTGTCCTGTAGTCATATGGCATGGCAGCAACTTGAGTGTGGTGTGTGGTGTGGTCCAAGTGTATGGCATAGCTGTGCAGCCTAGTTATGCAGGGAGATGCCATCAGTAAAGGAAACCTTGCAAGGCACATGGAACTCTGTGGATTTTTTTTTTTTAACTTCTTGGGAATGCTCTCCTCTTTGAATGTCTATTCTGAGTATTTAAACTCGGAACTTCCATGGTTTACCTGATTTCATCTCATGATTCTTAACATCTCCCCCAGCAGAAGCATGCACTGCCCTACAGCATGGACACACAGTGTCAGGCAGAGACACCCTCATCACATCCCATTGCCATACCAAGGGATAGCCAGACGACTTGTTTTGGGCTTACAGACTCTGAAGTACCCACTGCTGCTGTCAGCTGACACACAGCCATGCATGATCAAATACACAGCCACCTGTTTGTGGTTATGGCTGCAGGGCAGTGCTCACTGTCATGCTGTGTCTTTGCAGGGCCAGGTCTGCTGTGAGCCCTTGGAGGGCAGAACTGTCCTTAAATTACCACAGAGCTCAGCCCCTGGGAGGGACTCACTGTGGCTCTCAATCACTCACTGCCCTTTGAACTCAGAAAGCTTATTTAGCACAGTCTTGAACTACTCTTCACTGTGGCCAACTATCCTTGGGGCCTTCCTAAGGATGGAATTCTCCCCTGTTGAGTAGATGGGGAGTCCAAGGCAGGGAACAGAGGTGCTCAGTTACTGTGCCCTGCAGGGGAGGAGGCTCAGTCAAGCCCGAGAGGTAGATGGTTGGGAAGCTGAGCATGGAGAGTTAGCATGGAAGACAGAATAGGTCATGGGCTGCCCCCCCCCCCCCAGGCAGAGGTAGCCAGCGCCTGGAAGTCAGCATCACTTGCTGGGAAGGAGCCCAAGCTAGTGTGTGACACTGGGCACGCTGTGAGGCTGGCACCTGGAAGGTTATCTCCACCCACTTCCCCATGTGGGGTCTGACTATGAGGCCCAGGTGCTGGGGGTTTGGGATAGTCAGGAGGGAGACAGATGGGGCCACCTTGGTGAGCAGGCAGGTTGCTGGTTTTCTTCTGTTTCTTTCTTTATCTTGAGACAGGGTTTCGCATAGCCTAGGCCTCCAATCAACTGTGTAGCTGTGAGTTCAAGACTCCAATGGTCTTGAACTGATCTGCCTGCCTCTGCCTCCCAAAGTGCTGGAATTACAGGAATGAGCCCCAGTGGCTGCCTTGGTCACTGTTGTTAGGTGTCCCATGGATGCTTGGCCAGGTTTTGAAGAGTTTCACTAACTCCTCAAGGTCACCAGGAGCGTCTCTCCCCCCCTCCCTCTCAGCAACTGGCACAAATCGAGACAGATCTGAAGTCCCGCACGGCCGCATACAGTGTTCTGAAGGCCAACCTGGAGAACTTGGAGAAGAAGTCCACGTGCGTACCACACCCATTGCATTCTTTGTGCATGCATCTGATGGGGGCTGGTGGGGGCATCCTCTACTCTTACCTTCCCATGGCTGTGGACAGTTGGAGCTGTGTGCTAGAAACCTGGGGCAGACGAAGAGGACAGAGCCAGGCAGGGTGGCATACACACCGTTGTCCGTGAACACGGAGGAGCTTCCTGCTCATTCCTTCTTTCCTTCTGCCCCCATCCTTATCCAGTATGAGGCTCTAGGGAGACTGCTCTGGTCTCTCACTGAGAGGGGGCTGGGGTTGCTGTTAGAGCCCAGACCTCCTTATACAGATAGGATCATGGCAGCTGCCCAGGCTGGATCATAGAAAGCCCCTGGTGTGCAGCTGCAGGACCTCAGGTGCCCTGACTATTTGCTGGTTTTATGAAGAGAATGGGTTGTTCAGGCCCCCTCAGACCAGGCTCCACAGTGGTGGAATCAATAGAAAAGTAAGCTCAGGACCACCAAAGACTATTTGGGGGATGGTAGTGAGGGAGGAGCAAGGCAAGCTCCCAAGTGAGACGGGAGCACTCACCTCTAGATCCTGAGTCTGAGTCCAGAAAAGCCAGTGGCCCAGGAGCTCAGAGCCTCTCTCTGTTTGGTACCTCTTACTTAAGCTTCCCTCTTGAATCTTCCCTGGGCCAGCTTTCCTAGTCGTAAAAGAAAACAGATTGACCATTCCTAACCTGAAAATGCAAAATGAGAAATGCTCCAAACCCAGAGAAATTTTAAGCATCAACATGAGTCCTTAAGTGGAAGGTCCCATACCTGACCCAGTGGCTCTGCCACGGCCATGACACAAACACTAAAACTGCCATGTAAGCTTCCCTGCAGGGTACTGTATGAGTCCTGTATGAAGCCAAAGGGTTTCTGCTTTGACCTTGTGTTCTACTTCTAAGAAAGCTCATTGTTCCAAGAAAGCATTCAATCATTCAATCAGACAAAACAACCCCAAATCCAAGCAGAGAGGGAATGCAGGCTGATGTCCAACAGTGGGGATGGGGTAGGGATGGGAACACAGATGGACTGAGCTTAGAAAGTCAGTTTCAGTTGTCGGACTCCATCTCCAGGTAACTGGGCATGAGCAGTGGTGGGTATGAGTCAGGTGGGCACTAGTTGCCTAAGCCTGAGGTCCAGACCATGGTGGTTCACCCACTCACATCATAGATGGTTTGGTGGCTGGCAAGATGGATCAGTGGGTAAAGGTACCTACCACATGCATGATGGTCTGAGTTCAATCCCTGGCAGAAAGAAAGAACTAACTTCTGCAAGTTGTCTTCTGATCTCCACAAATGTGCTCTCTCTCTCTCTCTCTCTCTCTCTCTCTCTCTCTTCTCCTCTTTTCCTCTCTCTCTCTTTTTTGTGTAATCAGAGAATTGGGACTTTAACGGTGACTGATCCAACCTATTCTCCCATAGGATCTCTGATTCCTCCTCCTTCACCAATCAGAGGCTGACTCTCTCTTCTGTTTATTCTTTTGATGTACATTTAAAGCACCCACAATGTCCTCAGGCCCTATAGACATAAAGCAAAGTGAAACCATTTCTACACTTGAAAAGTCACAGTCTCATTCAGCAAACCTGTGGGCTTGTTGCTTTGTGCTGAGTGCACTATGAACCACTGATAAGCCTCCTAGCAGGATAATGCGCTTGCTGTGGTGACAGGCTGGCTGAGCCTAGGGTGCCTCTGGAGGGGACCCACTGGCTTGTGTCCAGCTGTGTGGTGGTAGCACACACAGCAGAGCAGACCCCCTTGGAGGATGGGATTCTCTTTTGCCTTTGAGGCTTTGCCTTTGGCTCTGTGCTTGGGAAGTGGGAAGCAGTGGGCTCACAGTGCAGCCTCCATGCTCTGGGGCTGCATGGTAACCAAACCATGCTCTTCACTGGAGTCAGAGCTGGTGGCGCAGACAAAGCTATTTCAGGTGAGTGGCCTGTAAAGTGACACAGAGATAGCTCTATCTAGGCCTATCTGTCCCATGCAACTTGGAGACCTTGCTGTTCTGATACTTGAATAACTTTAGTTGCCCGACACCTGAGGTCCCTTACCAGCACCTGAGTTGGCTTTTGAGGACAGTGCAGGTCACTGAGGTGTTAGATTCAGCAGCCCCTTGAGTGACAGGAGATAGTTGCAGAGGCTCTGCCAGTTTCCCTGGCACTGAGGGAAGAGGAGGTACTCACTTACAATTTGGCTGTACCTGGCTCTGGCACACAGCTCAGAGACTCCCCTGAGCCTGCTCCATTTCCTGCTGCTTTTCTGGACTCTATAGGCATGCAGGGTCAGCGAGCCTCTCTGCTGGGCTTACACAGTGTCCCTCTGCCTTCCAGGGGGAACCTCTTCACTCGGACACTGAGCGATATCGTCAGCAAAGAAGACTTCGTACTTGATTCAGAATATCTCATAACCCTTCTGGTCATCGTCCCCAAGTATGTGAAAAGGAGGGTGGTGGGGTTGCTCCTCAGTGTAAAGTGAGGTGGACCCCCTATGCTTGCTGGCCCCCAGGTCAGCAGACATTGCTGCTCAGGACCCATGGAGGGCCACTGTCTCCACGGGCGCAGAGCCAGGGAGATGGTAGTAGTGACAGAGCATTTATTGAGCACCTGTGTTGTGCCCGCAAGAAGCTTGAGAGTGCTACTGTTCCCTTTGACCTGAAGATAGGAAGGCCATTCCCTTGGTCCCAGGCCACCTGGGCTAGGATCAGACAATCACTGGGAAGACCTGGGACTGTTGCATGCAGACAGGGCTCAGTATGGCACTGGGCAATGGCAGGAGCATCAGTAATGTCAGGGACACTCCCTGGTTATACCTCCAGACTTTCGGTCTTAAGGAGAAGGTGCAGTTTCCTGAGACAACAGAAGCCCTCCCTTCTCAAATCACTCAACAGTTCTGTGTCCGCCCTCACAGGTCAAGCTATGCACAATGGCAGAAGACATATGAATCCCTATCAGACATGGTCGTCCCACGGTCAACCAAGTAAGTGAGACCTCAGTTTAGTCTACATTTATCCCCAGAGGGGGGAACACCAGACATGTGCCAAGAGTGGGGCACCTCACAGCACTGCACCTGCGTATTGAGTTCCTGTGGCCTGGAATTCTCTCCTGGCACCTTGGGATATTCCTGTCTGCCATTGTCCTTCAAAGCTCCAGTTCCCTGTCCCTCCTCTGGGAAGGCCCAACCTCTATGTTCTCTGCCTGCCTGATCTGTATTCTCTACAAAACATCTGTCTGCCCCTCCTAACAGGGAGTGGTATGGAGGTTATTGAGCAAAATCCTGAACGGAGTGACAGCCTAGGACTGGCCACAGAATCTTAGCAGGATGGACATTCTCAATGTGTGGCCAATTGGGGTCAGACCAGGAACAAGTGAGCACTGCAAACACAATGGGTAGGAATGGGTTGAATCTGTGTCTGCCATGGAAAACGAGCAGGGCAACCACACACATCACAGCTCACTTGGAGAATGAGCAAACGTTAACTGTTGGCTGGTGTTTTAGTCACTGTTTTACTGTTGTGAGGAGACATCATGACCAAGGTAAGTGTTATAAAAGGAAACATTAATTGGGGCTGGCTTATTGTTTCAGAGGTTCAGTCCATCATGGCAGGGAGCATGGTGGCACACATGGTGCTATGCCCTGATTCACAGGCACAGAGACAGAGAGACAGAGAGACAGAGAGACAGAGAGAGAGAGAGAGGAGAGAGAGAGAGAGAGAGAGAATGCACACCTAGGACTGACTGATGTGGACGTTTGAAACCTCAAAGCCTACCCCCAGAGACACACTTCCTTCAACAAGACCACACCTCCTAATCCTTCTTAAGGAGTGCCACTTCCTGGTGACTAAGCAGTCAAGAAATCTGAGCCTCTGGGGGCCATTCATATTACCACAGCAGGTATATAGAGAACCATGCCATTTATCTAGAATTAAAAAAAAAAGTGTGAAAGGAATGTCTCGGTGCCTGGGCCATGGTACAGTTCACAGCAGAGTCACAGGGGCCATGGGAATGAGAAAAGCCACCATCAGGGTCATAGTGATAAGAAGACACATGTCTAGTTCAGTAGGGCAGGGCCTGGGGGACTCTTAACTGTGTGGAACTTGTTTGTGGTCCTGAGTCATGCATCTTTATGTATGCCATATAAGAAATTTACTTGTGAGTTACAAGTGGCATGAGTTCCATGATCTGCCCCACCACATTGCACCCAGAGCGGGCCCCCCCCACCTTACCCCACCTACCCCATCTCATTTCATCCTCCCCATCCCCATTCCTCCCCATCCCACCCCATTCCACCCACCATCCCATCCCAGCCTACCCATCCTACTCTCTCCCACCTAACCCTCATCCACCCTGTCCCATCCCATCCTGGCCCTGAGGAACATGCTACCAGCTCCCAGGAGATAGCCACCAGGAGCTAAATTGAGGGGTTTCAAGGAACAGGTTAGTCACATCCTCAGGTCCTAAGGGAGGAAGAGCTTGAAGAAGAGGTGCATCTTTTGTGGGCAGTAGCACCAGCCAGGAGCTGCCTGGTAAATGGGTTTCTTGTGTTCTTCAGGATTGCCTCTGGGATCCTTTTAGGACAATCAGTGTCTCAGTTTTATTGCGGTATAAGATACCATGACCACTCCACTCTTTTTTAATTTATTAATTTTTATTTTATATGCATTGATGCTTTGCCATGGGTATCAGTTCCCCTAGAACTGGAGTTACAGACAGTTGTGAGCTGCCATGTGGGTTCTGGGAATTGAACCCAGGTCCTCTGAAAGAGTAGTCAGTGCTCTGAAACACTGAGCCATCTTTCCAGCCCCCCAACCCCACACTACACTCTTGTAAAGGAAAACATTTAAATGGTGCTGGATTACAGTTTAGAGGTTTACATTATTGTCATGGCAGGAAACATGGTGGCATATATAGTACTGGAGAGGTAGTGAGAATTCTACATCTTAATCCGCAGGTAACAGGAGACTACCCACACTAGGCCTGGCTTGAGCATATGAGACCTCAAAGCTGACTTCTACAGTGATACACTTCCTCCAACAAGGCCACACTTCATAATAGTGCTGCTCTCTATGGGCCAGGCATTCAAACACATGCGTCTATGGGGGCCATTCCTACTAAACCACCACATTCAGTGTGGTAGGGCACTGGGCCACAGAGCAGAGATCTCAGCCCACTCATGATTCAGAGAGCTCCAGAGCCTTCACCAAGGATTCTGGGAAGGTCTGGAGCTCAGGGGCAGTTCCTATGGGTGTGAGCTCTAAGATACAGGAGAGGGGAGCTGCCAACCAGGCATGCCTTAGGCCCCTAAGACTTCTTGCTCAGGCCACTGTCCCGTGTTGCTGGGAACAGTGACTCTAGCAGCCTATGTTACATGCTGGCAATGACATATCCAGTTAGGGTCCGTGATATTGGAAGTGGAATGGCTTCTGCCACTTTATTTCACTGGAACCTGCATAGCCAGCAGTGGTGTCAGGCCCTGTGGGGGCTGGATCACTCAGTCATTTGAGGAGCATGAGACAAAGCAGACACTGCCCTCCTGTCACTCCCAACCAGAGACTCTGCTGGAGCTTCCAAGGCTGAGCCTGGAGGGGTGGGTGGTGAAGGCCAGACCTAGGAAGCTGTGAGGACACCCTTGATCCCCAGCCCCTGGTGACTGCAAGGACCCATGTATAGGCCACCAGGCCCAGGGAACCTGACGCTACCAGTGGGAGATGGCCTTGTGAGGCTGAAGAAGAGCTCCTCTTAGCCTAGCTTCAGCTCAGAGCCTGGAGTGGAGTAACCCTAGGTCATTCAGCCAATAAACACCTCTCCATTTAGACTGATCGCCGAGGACAACGAGGCTGGCCTCTTCACCGTGACCCTCTTCCGCAAAGTGACTGAAGATTTCAAAGTTAAAGCAAAAGAAAACAAGTAAGGGTGTGGGCCATGGGCCAGTGTGAGTCTCCCAGGAGAGTCTGCCTTGACCAGGTTCTCAGTGACAGCGATGGCTGCTCTTTTGAAGGTTCATTGTCCGGGAATTTTACTATGATGAAAAAGAAATTAAAAGAGAAAGAGAGGAGATGACCAGGTTGCTGTCTGATAAGAAACAACAGTATGTGAGTACCGGGGCATGGGAGGGGCTCTAGACAGCTGAGATACATTTCCAATGTTCCGGGGGCCAGTGTCCATTGTCCCCATCTCCTGGGCTCATGCTGCCAAGGCACATGTTAGTCCACATGGCATATGTACTGAGCCCTACTCTCTGACACAGCTCACAACCACCTGGGTCACTGTCCTCTCTCAGGGCTTGTCTGCTGCACAGTAGGTGAGATGCCAAAGTGTCCCTGGTCAGCTATAGCAGGGGCACCAGGATAAAGCATCTGTGCCCAGAGATTGCATAGCCACTGATTTCCTATCGTCTGTGACTGTGTAGATTTCAGGGCGCCACCAGCACCTGTGTTTACCTCTCCTGTGCTCTTAGCAGAGTGGGTGCTTATCTGAGACACTCTGACCACAGACACTTAGAAACGTTGTGGAGAGGTCAGCCTCCATCCCTGGGGCAAAACAGAGTGTGGTGGTGAACTGGGAGCCTGTAGTTCTGGGAACATCACCTCGGGCTCTGCAAGTGTTTTCCAGACTCTGGTGTCTTGGAACAGCAGCACCGGCCCAGTCCTGCACTCTCGGGGCACTTGTCAGGGTGTGTGTATTCCAGCTCCTTCTTCCCCAGCTTCAGAGGGAGGCCTCTTCAGAGCACCTTCTAGTGTCACTTCAGTGACAGGTGGGAGAAGTAGAGTGTCCTTGAGCCCTTGGAGGAAAGTGTTCTCAGAGCTGGAAGTGTGTGCCTGGGAGGACAGGGCCGTTGGGCTGGCACAGTGCTTCACACGTGCCCCAGCATTTGCCCCAGGCCTCCTCCCACACTAGGCAGATGACCTGATCTTGCACAGTGAGTGGCTTTTTTCACCCACCCTTTGGGGAGTGAGCATAAGCCAACAATTTCCCTGAAGTAGATCTTGGAGCCTTACCTGCCTGCCATTCCCTTTTCAGAAGGAAAGCCCAGCTGGTGATGATTCATGGCGCTGGGCTTTCTTTCTTTCTTTCTTTCTTTCTTTCTTTCTTTCTTTCTTTCTTTCTTTCTTTCTTTCTTTCTTTTTTTTTGAGACAGGGTTTCTCTGTGTAT